CGTGCAGTGCCCTCGGAACTGCTCGCATTTTTCTTGAAAAATCACTTTAATATAAAGTTTGATCACTCACGGGGGTAGGGAAGGAGAGATTGCCTACCCGTTTGGAAAATGGAGAAAAAGCTCTGGCGTTTGTCCTGTGACCCCACCCCAGGGAGGGTCTCTTGCCTCCTGACACCCCCTTCCCAGCCGCACTGGAGCTGGGGGACTTTGCGAAGGGAGGAGGGCCGAGGTCCTCCCCGCGCCGAGCCTGGCTCTGTCGGGCGACCCTGGGGCTCCATGGGCGGCTGGGGCGCGCAGACAGCCCGGGTCTGGCGGCGGGGTGGCGGGGGCCTGGCCGGCGCGCCCCGCGCGGTGCGTGTGCGCTGGGAGCGGCGAGCAGCCCCGCGCCGGCGTCTGGATTCCGTCTCCCTCTAAGCCGCTTTTACAACTTCGCCAATGAATAACCCGCCTCTCTTTTCAACCTAATCACGGCTCTTTGTGTATCTTTCTGTTGATGATTTATAGGAATAAATTAATAACACCCCAACTCCACGTGCTGTAGTTTATTTTCCATCTCCGCTGCCATCAGCCTGGCGCGGGGCAGAGGGGCGTTCCAATCCCCCCGGGTTTCCTGGATCCGGAACGGCCTAGGCCCCGCGGACTCCCGGGTGGAAAGCGGCGGGAGCCCTAGGAGTTGGCCAGGGCCGGGTGAGCCCTTGAGCCTCGCGGGTGGCCCACCTGTTCAGAAGGCTGGCCTTTGGCGACCTCTCTCAACCTCAGGCACAAGCCGGTGCCCTAACGCCAGCCAGGGAGAAATTGTAGGGGGAGAAAAAAAAAAAAATCCCCTCTTTCACCCTAACCGAAGGGCAAGCCACCAGGCCATCGGAGCGCGAATTCAAATGCAAGGTCATATCCCGTCGCATCAACGCCGCGGGGCGTGTGTCTGGAGCCGGCCGCGTCCCGGGTCTGGGTGGGCAGCCGCATCGAGACAGCGGCTAAGAGCGAAAGCCGAGCGGCCTGGAGCAACGTGCGGCGGCCGGAGGGAGCCCCTCGCTCGGGTGGATAATTAGTAACTAGCTGTCAAAACCCTAGGCCAGCTGGGGAGGTCCTGCAAACGCTCCGGGGCCGGAGATCGACAGCAGCCTGCCCGTGTCCCGGGAGGCTCGGGGCGCGCCTGCAGTCCTCAGGCCAAAGCCGCTGAGACCTGGCCTCTTGGCCTCACCTGCCCCTCGATGGGTCTTAAATGCGTGAGGGTTTGTCTTCCCCCTCGCTCAAGTCCACCACATGCTCCATGCAGAACATTCATTCCTCATTGCAAACTAGAAATCAGGCTTGAGTGTATTCCAGAGGCCTTGTACCAGCTCAGTCCGCGCAGGTGCCCGTCAGAGAACCTCCTTTCGAGATCCCAGCCCTGGCTGTTCCCTGTCCCAAAGCAAGGAACGACAGGACGCTGCGCCTGAGGTTGGCCTGCGCCTTCGCCGGTCCAGGAGGCGGTGGCCAGGGGAGAGTGAGTGGCCTGCGGCTTTGTGCTGGCCCGCGCACACACCTCTGCTCCTGGAGAAATTGCTGCTGTTTTCTCGGCACCCACCTATACCTCCAGTCTGGTGGACACAGCTCAAGCTCAAGGACTTCGCAGCAGCCGGTTCTCCGGCTGAACCCAAGCCTCTCCTGGGTCCCCTGGGTCCCGGGTCCTGGGCCTAGGCTCGGGCAGAGGGAACCTGGGGTCCCGGAGTCCCAGAGAACTGGGAGGAGTCCAGGTGTGGAGAGAGAAGTGGAACGCCCCTCGGGAGACTTCTCCCGTGGGAAATAGATTGATGAAATAGCCGAGTGTCGCCCAGGCCCAGGCCCCAGTGCAGGGTCCCGGGAACACACCTCCAGCCTCGCGGGGCACCTACCTGAGCATCCGCTCCACTTCGGCCCGCTGCTCCGCAGCCTCCTCAGTGTTGAGCGCCTGCAGCTCCTTGAGGATGGGAGGGGTGTCGTAGTCGTCCCCGTCCTCCGAGCCCTCGTCCCCGGACAGGCGACCCTTGGCGTGGCCATTGGTGAGCGTATGGAAGACCGGCTTGGTGTCGGGCTCCGTCCCACTCCCGGGGGACAGGGGCAATGACTCCAGTTTCACCCCGAAACTCGGGGATGGCAGCAACTCCTCCAAGGCCTGAACCAGCACCTCCTTGGTGACACCGGAGCTCAGCAGGGCGCTCAGGAGTTCTTGCTGGAGCGGCGAGAGCCTGGACACCATTTTCCAAGGACGAGAATAGAAGGGGGTGAAGGGGTGGGTGGGTGCGCGAGAGGAGGGTGGTGGGGGAGTTTCACCAGCCAACCCCAAATCCAGAAGCCCCCCCACCCTTCAGTCTCCTGCCACTTGTTACTCTCCAGGGTCTCGGAGTCTCCTCCGAGGAGTCGGAATAGTTCTAACTTGCCATGATCGCCACCATTAGGCCATATAAAATATGCAAATTAGTAGGAAGGGCCCAGCTTTCGGCAAGATGCAAATGACGGTGGGAAGGGGAGGGCGACCGAGAGAGAGGAAGTGCCGCGGTGGGGGGCAGGCGTAGACCGTCCAGGCCTGGCCGGAGTCCCGCTTGCCACTGTCCATTCTAGCCACTCCGAGGGGCCGGAGACCTTCTTCTCTCGGGTTCTGTTTATCTGCCAAACTTCTGCTGACCTTTGGACTACTGAGCAAATAGCTTGCATCCCAGTGTGCACGGCACGGGCGGGCTTTTCCACCGGCTGCAGACACTGCCACAGGCCCCAGAGGTGAAGAGAGGGCGCTTCGGGGTTCAAGTGACAGCTAGGAGAAGCAGGGGTGCTCTTGGGAGAGGGGGGGTGTCAGAAGAAATGGAGAGTGGTGACACTCCGAGGCGTTGCAGGGAAGCAGGTCGTGGGCACGGAGAACCAGCAGGGGTCGGAGGAGGAACTGACCGCTGGGCAATGGGCGCGGGATGCTAGAGGAAGTGGGGTGCTGTTGGGTAGGGTGAGTACATAGGAGATTGGAAGGACCCTATTTATTTATACTTTGGTTACCCCTACCCAGGCCTGAGGCCTTCACCTACCGGCTGGGGCGGTTTGCGCTTGTAAAACTTGTGGCAGCAAGAGCGTAGATGAGGGGAAGGGTGGGGAGGACCGTAGCAGGAGGCGACCCCTAATTTATGGCAGGGGTGGATGGATGGGGGCTCCTAGTTAAGGTTGTGCTCCCCGCGGCGGGGCTGAGCCGCTGGAGCGCGGGCCTGTGCTCTCCCTGGGCTAGCTACAGCGGCTAGCAAATCGCCTCTCCTTTCTGGGTGAGACTGGCCTCAAGGGCTCTCCTCTTCCTAACAGTGCAAGCAGAGTTCAGCTGCGGAGCCGCATCCTTCCCGGGCTGGCTGACTTCTTCTGGTCTGTTCGCATTTCCAGGCGGTTCGCGGTTCCGGGTAACACCGACGCGCTCAGTGGGGCTCAGGCAGACGCCTGCCAAATCGCTGAGCGAAAGTTCGGTTTCCACCCAGGCCCAGGCAGGGAAGGAAGTGGTGGGGTTTTCCGCGCCAGCGGAGTTTCGCCCGCATCTCCTCGCAGCGCTGCACAGAGCGAGAACCGCTGCAGAGGACGAAGAACACAGACTTCACCTGGAAGGGTGGGAACTGGGCTTTGCTCTCGAAGACCCTTATGCCCTTCAACAGGGGGCCTCTCCTTTGTGTCTGAGACTGTTTCCTCATCTGTGAAATGGAACTACTACTCCTCAGACCTTTCCGCCAAGATGCTTGTCAAAAGAAAGATGTCCAGTCTCCTCCTGTGCGATTTACTACCTCTGAAAACCTCCCGGAGGGAGGCCACTTCTGACTGGAAAACAAACAGCGAGAGTAACAACAACTCATACCACAGGGAGATTGTAGGTGTTCAATGAGACTACATGCGAAGCCTGTGATCTCATTATAGTACTTGCGTTTTCTAGTCTGGAAAGGCAGAAATTTCAGTTGTAAAATCAGCCTTCCCTCCACCCCGAGTCTAAGAGTTTCAGCGTCAACAAGTTGGTAGTGGTAGCACTGAGGTTGAAGCAGCTGGAAGATAGGGAACACAAATGCAGAATCAGCTAGGAGTTTGCAAAGGGGTTTCTAATCAAGTTCTACCTCTCCCATATTCAAAAGATTAGGAGGAAGACACGGTTGGGTTAAGGATAGAACACAATTTCCAAATAGAAGAGGAAGGCTATGCTGCTCACTTTAGATTAAATCTTCCAGGAGTAGGAATGCTGACGTTCTAGGGGTGATTGGCCCAAGACAGGCTGGTGAAGAGCCAGGGGAGCTCCTTTCGATACAAGGTCTTTGCCGCAGAGAACTGAAGATGGAGAAGCATATGCAAGGAGACCTCAAAGCATCAAATTCATCACCCTCAATTAGAACAAACTAATAGCTGACCCTATTCCAAGGCTGTGTGACTCACCGGCAGAGGGGATTGTCCAGCTTTCTTCCCCAGAACCCCTGGTGAATTCCTAACATCAGAGAGGTGCGCCTGTGGCTTAGTGTAACTTTCTACCAGGTAGGCCACCAGGTAATACACTCAGCCTTTTAATACCTAGAAAAAGAAAGAATAAATTCATGGAAATAAGAGCCTTTCCTAGGTTGTTGTAAGATATTCATAGTTCAGCCCAATGGGAAAAATTCTTTGCCTCTCCAGAACCCCTAAATCAGGATAATGAAGTGTTCAGATTTTATCTCCCTAGAGAACAGTTTTTCTGTCCATCCCTTGCTTTCATGATAGAAGCACTCAAGTATAATGATGGTCAGTTACTGTATTTAGCTGGTAAACCCCACTTAAAACCCAACAATCACTTCCCTTTTAAGAACAGAACTTTGGTTTGTAATTCCATCTACTAAGAGGCCTAGTTCTACTCCTTGGCTTCTTTTATCTTTCAAATTTCTGGTATTCTGGTATCAGCAGACCCTTTTCCTCCCTCAATTCTAGGCAACTATGTGAACTTACAGGAAGTTTTCACAGAGCATACAGGGGGAAAACACCCTATGAGTATCCAGGTATGTCTGTCAGCTAGTATGGTCATTTATATCCAACTTCTCACAAACTCCTGCTCAAATCTGGTACGTATATGCCACTTGGTGCACTGTGGGTGATTGCCAGGGCCTATACTCAGGACGTGGATCTGTGAGCAGATTAAATATCCATACCTTCACATGGAAGTTGAAGAAGAAACATACAAGTAGGCCAGTCATTAGTTCTGGTCATATATATGATATCTTGTCATGATAAAGCAGAGCAGGACATGTATCATAAATGCTTAATAAATGAATAATTTATTAAATTACCCCTCTGTTCAACATCTCTCAAAATACAGGAGCAAAGATACAGATAATCTTATTTTCCTTCATATAGGATACAGTTGTTATTGTTAGATACCTCTCTCCCAAAACAGCTGGTGGATTTCAACTATGTGCCTTTGGGTAGGCAGCATGACTGCTCACCACCAAACCACCAGAGCTCCCTATGGGACAAAGTGGTGCTAATGTGTCAAAGAGTTTAAAGGTGGCATAGGATAGGATAGGGTTCAGATCTGTTCATGTGTTCACTATGGGTCATACTCAACAGCACCTAACAACAGCACTACGATACAGTAAGCCTATTTAAGGACAGAGAAAAAATGACAGTTTAAGAATGTTGCTTGCCCATCAACAAAAAAATGGATAGAGAAGCTGTGGTATATTCACACAATGGAATACTACGCTGCATTGAAAAACAAGGAACTCATGTAATATTATTTAAAATGGATGAACTTGGAGAAAATTATGCTGAGTGAAATATCTCAGTCACAAAAGGACAAATACTGCATAGTGCCACTGTTGTAAAATGGGACTGACATTGGGTTTGGGGGGAGACTGAGAAAGATGGGATAAATTATGCATACTGCATTGAAACAGATGAGAGAGAGAACTGTTTAAAAGGGATACATGATTAGGTCTATTGTCATGACAGGAGTCCAGAGCGAAGGCTGCATAGTAGAGTGGACTTGGGGGGAGGGATTGTATAACAACGAAAGAATTTTTCTTTTTAAAGAGAAAAACGAACTGAAAGGGAAGGGTGGGCAGGCAGAAAAGTGTGTTAGTGAATGAATGGAATTCCAAAATCTCTATATTTTCATTAAAAATAAAATTAAAAAAAGAATGTTGCTTGAAGCTAATGGCAATAAGTTAATGTAAAGGATGGAACTCGAGCTCAGAAGTTTTTGAACAGAGCTTTGAAGAGAAGAATTTGAGCTGTCTGCCTAACTTCAAGAAAGATCTGTAGTTTTGGAGGTGAGAAGTTCAAGGAGGGGGATTCTGTGAGGGAAAGGTGGAGGATGCATAACAGAACAGAGGGCAGACTTGAGAGTAAAATGTACTTGAGTCCAATTCCAACATTTGTGTAACAAGCTTTGTGAATTTGGGCATGTGCCTATTTTTCTAAGCCTCAATTTCCTTATGTGGAAAATTATGAAATTGCTCCACTATGTTTTTTGAGAGGGAACTTTGGTGGCCTAACTGAAAATCTGTACTGGAAATCATGCAGGATATTTTATTTCTCCTTTGGAGGAGGTGGTGGTGCAGAACAACTCCAGTGGTTTGAATCCACCAGACACTTTGTGAAAGAATGATGGTCAGTTTCCTCTCATACCTCATTCAGCCCCAAAAGCCCAGTGGAGGGATACTGAGGGCCATGAGTCACTTCTGACTCGATGGCAATGAGTTTGAATTTTTTAGTAGGGGTTTTTTTGTGTGTGTGTATGTGAATTATAAACTGTAGGTTTCTGGAATATTGTAGACTCATGTTTAGAAAGAAGGGGCAAATCTTGAAAGGGCAAAAAGAAAATGAAAACACTGGACTCTGTAGACACTTAGATTCCTAGCTTTTTTAAGAGGAATTGAATTCAAAGAAACCATAGTGATCGAAAAGAGGAAGACCCTCACAGGATGTGTTGATACAATGGCAACAATGAGTTCAAGGCCAGCAGAAATTGTGAAGATGGCAAAGGATCAGGCAGGTTTCATTTATATTATTATATATATTATTGAATTAGAGTTCTGGTGTCCTAGTGGGTAAGGAGTTGCAATGCTAACCCCAAATATGAGGTATGAATCCTTCAGCTGCTCTCTGGGAGAGATGGGCAATCTCCGCACCTAACCACAACATTGCAAGTTCATCTTTTCATATGGCAAATCTGCAGTTCAAGTCCAAGCTTTTCAATGTGAATTTTTGCCCTTGAGATAAAAGAACTTAAATGATCAATTGGCTAATCATTCTATGAAAGCTTTTGAAGAATCATCTAGGTAATTTTATAGACTGTTGTAGGGGCTCCTGGGGACTGATGTCCTCTGTCACTTTGTAGCATAAGGAGACCTTTCCCCCCCATGCTCTTGTGCACACAGCCTTTGCCTCACTTTCCTGCTATAATATCCACTTTTTTTGGTTATAACAGGAAAATATACATTGTCTCTGC